CAACGGCGACGAAAACAAAATTACGAAGTAGACTGGACATAAACCACACACTTGCGGTGTCATTGTCTCTCCTATTACCCCGAGATGGGACCGTCTGGTTGCAGAAAATCAAGCTCGGTGCTGTGGTGAGTGGTCATTTTCATGCACTTTGAATTTGCGTTGTATCGTATTTTGAAGGCATTAAACATTGCCATAGCGATTGGAGTGTTGCGGCCAGATTAGACGCTCCTTGTGTTTATTATTATATTTCGAAAACACCACAGTTTTCATGCAGCTCATACCATATTATTTTGTTGTATTATTTCCGCCACACCTTAAATGCCGGTCCCTGAAAATATTGTCTGACATAAACCGGTCCGTGGGGCAAAAAAGGTTGGGGACCCCTGATATATAGTATAAAACAAACATGAAAGGTGATTTAATTAAATTTGATATTTCAGTAGTGTGGATCAAACTGGCAGCACTTCACATTAATCAGTAACCAAGAATATGTCGCAAAAAGGTTGGTGACCCTTGTTAAGGACAAGACAATATGGAGGTTTGGGACCATAAAAAGGTGATTGTGAATGTGTTATTTCAGCTATGAAATTGTAGTTGATATCTAGGAGGGCAGAAGTGGCTAAAGTGTTACTAGAATGGTACTCAAAATTGTGACTCAGCAAGATTGTAATATGATTGGATTTGCTTATGGAATGACTAAACTTGATTTGCCTTTAAATTCAATGTTTAGTTGACTTGACTTGCTTGTTGTTTTTGACACAACAGTCACTTGGGACTTGGTTGAAAGTTGAACGCTTGAAACAGGAATTTGTCGACATCCAGTGCGATCGGATACTTTTACTCGATTATACATCATCCAGCCCACTCGGCGGCGACAGAGGCGGGCCAGTGTCCTCTCCACTCCCGTGACAGGAGAAGAGCGACTATCGAGTCAACATGGCTGCGGCTCTTGTTCGGTTTGTCCGCGGAAGTCTCGGACGGAATTTCTCCAGTAAGTTAACAGTAAACAACGATGAGCTTCTGAAGGCGAACTATTTTTGTCTTTGTGCGCCACTTAGAAACGATACGGTCAATTATCACTGCCTCATGTCACTAGCGTTGACCTTCGAGCTAGCTAATGCTAGTAACCCAGCTTCGTGGAATGGTTCTGCCTGTTGTCATGACGCGTTAAGTCATCGATATTAGAGGCAACTTTGGAATCACTCCTGATTATGTTGTGCCAATAGTGTTTATCTGGTCGAACCTTCCAGAAATGTTATAGAGAAGCACAGTTCAGTTCCATTGAACGCAGAATACTGATTTTGATTGGCCCTGTATTACGTTCATTGTATCTCGCTGACAGCGTTGCATGCAAACGGTTGTACTTCACTTTGGCTTCTAATGTGTCCAGTTGCAAGATCTTCATGTCTCCTGCAGCAGAGCAGATTGCAGAGTTCCACCACTGAAACAAAACGTATGTACAATTTGAACACACTGTTTTTAACAATGCATTATGAAGAATTTAACAGTGGATATTCAGAATTAAAATACTTACCCCTACTACATACTATGCATGTATTGTATTATGTATTGGCATAAATAACAGTTCATGCCTTCCTCGTTTGTTTCTTTTTTTTTTTTTTAACGCAGGTTTACATCACTACAGTAGAAACTGAAATAAAGGCTGCCCAGAACCTCAAATTATGAAATCAAGCTTATTTTTTGGGGTCAGGCAAATAGTCGAGCACAATTCTACAAAAAAAAAAAAAAAATTATGTATTTTGAAGTAGAACACATTTCAAGTGTTCAGTTAAGGTTTGTTTAAAAAGATCCATTTCTGCCTGTGACATTGGAGGACAAAGTGTGCCTAACCACAATGAACATCTTCTCACCTCTTCATGTCATCTCCGCAGCCACTGTGCGGCCTAAGGATGCAGTCGCCCACAATCAGCTGACAGCGTTTGGGGAATATGTGGCTGAGATGATGCCCAAATACATCCAGCAGGTTCAGGTCAGTTCAATGCAACATTAAGTGCAGCGTGATCCAAGTGAAGACGCGTATGATTATGTGGGACAATAGAGAGATCGCTGAAGTCTTACTATTTCACACATATCGTCTTCGCACATGCTTGCGTCTTAATCCTGCCTTTTGTTAAGAAAGAAACAATACAGATCCTCCCATGAATGGGCATGGATAAAGATGTCTGTCCATTTGGGTTTCTGAACAACCCAGTTCGAAAATCCGCTTGAGATCAAAAGGGCCTTTCAGAAATGTTTAGATATTCTGATTTTGAAAGTGTGTGTGTGTTTAGGTGACATGTTATAATGAGCTGGAGGTGATGATCCACCCAGACGGCGTGATCCCCATGCTGACTTTCCTGAGGGACCACACCAACGCTCAGTTCAGAAACATGGTCGACCTAACAGCTGTCGACATTCCTTCACGGCAGAACCGCTTTGAGGTACAGCAGTTCTCTTTTTGCTTTTTGTGTCAAGAAAAAACATTTTTTCACTATTTAAACGCAAGTTTCTTAACACTGTGTCTGATTTGCTTTCACCCATATACTGTACAGTCATCTCATTACCTCTGCGTCCCGCGTCCTAGACGCATAATTTTCCCGCGGGACGCACAGTTCCAAATAATGTGCGTTTTTGGGACGCAAGGAAATTTCTCAGTCAAAACAACAAAAAAAAAAACTATGGTACATCTTTTTTTCCAGCAACACAGTGTCGCAGTTCGACAATCGCCGCCATTGTTGTTTTGATCTCGCATTACGTAGTCTCACGTGACGAGATTTCCTTTCTCACGAGGCGAGATTGGCGAGATCGGCCTTCAACCTTGCGGAAGGCAGACGATTGCCAAGTTGTGTAACGTTAAAACAAGTGTTGCGAACAAGTGTTGCGAACAAGTGTTGCGAAAGTTTATCGCGGAGATATCACAGAGGAAGCAGCTAAAGTTGGATAGTTTTTTGCGATAATAAGTTGACTTTGAGAAAGTCTTGCATCATTGGAAGCAGAGTAAAGAGGAGAATATGAACTCAAAGACTGAACCCTCGGATGAAATAACCTATTTCTCAGCAAATCTTGTATGCCTGAATTAATTAAATTTTTGCAGCATTTTTTTTATAAGAAATAAACCTATTATCAATGTATATTGTTGTTGTTAGTGTTACTATCATATGCAATTGAATAAGTAGACCATTTCAGAATTCGGGACTCGCTGGGGTTAAACTGTAAAATTATCACTGCATATACTGCAGTGATCAACAAATATAGCCCACACAGCATATTTTAACTTTTTTTTTTTAGTAATGAGGTCATTGGGGGAAAAAAACACTACTATAGTCTAGTGCTGAAGAAAAGGAGCTATGTCGCAAAATACTTTTCTCTTGCCAAAAACAGGAAGTCAACTGGAAGTCTGCCACACACAAACCACTCCGCCGCGAATATACAGTAGTCCTCAATTATTAGTTCCATTGGAGAATTATGTCAACAAACATCACAGTTTGTATGCATTACCATACTGTAACTTAGCTTTAAGCCGCGTTTCCATTGTACTGGTTCCACACCAGCATGGAATGTCACCTCTCTGGGAGGGAAGGAGGCTGTACAAAGTTAAATACAACTGAACTGTTCTTAAGATATTAAGAGCCAATCACATATTCCTAATTTGACAGCTGTTGGCATGGACCAAACCAGAAGTTTTTGTGTTGTGTGTTGGTTCACAGATTGTGTACAACTTGCTGTCACTGCGCTACAACTCCCGTATTCGAGTTAAAACGTACACGGATGAACTCACGCCTTTGGACTCTGCTGTTCCCGTCCACATGGTTGCCAACTGGTACGAGAGAGAGGTGAGTCACAAACGACACGCGTCAACGCACTTGCCTTGACAAATGTTCTTGACATCGCTTTACCCAACAGCGCACGTTGTTTGTTTTTCTCATTAAGGTTTGGGACATGTATGGTGTGTTTTTTGCCAACCACCCTGACTTGCGACGCATTCTGACCGACTACGGCTTTGAGGGTCATCCTTTCAGGAAAGACTTCCCTCTGTCAGGATATGTTGAGGTGACAACCACTCTTCTCAACACAATGGAATCTCCGAAGTTCTCAGAGCAAATGTCAAGTAAATTTGTGCCAGGTTCAAACTGTTGCCATCATAAACCCTTCACAGGCAATAGCTTAGTCACATTTCTAACTGCCATTACAAGTAGAGTGGTCCCTCGTTTATCATGCAAGTTAGGTTCCAAAAATTACCGGCGATAGATGAAATCCGAGAAGTAGGAAACTTATGTTATAAGGGTGTGTACCTCACTATTAATATTTTCCTCACATTCCTCTCTTGCTGAAACCCCCAAAGGTCAAGCCTTTGCAAAAAAAATAAGTACCGTATTTCCCTTGTGGGCAACCATTTTCACGTTCTTTGCCGTAGGACAAGAAAGGAGCTCGGTGGAAGGTGATCACAGATCATATTTGTGTATGTTGTTCACCAAAGGGATAGTTTTCGAATTTCTATTTTCACATAATCTGTAATGTGCCCCATCCCCCCATTATTTATGTGGAAGTTGATGCAATTAAATGCTAGAAAACAAAACTTTTAGTTTTTCTTTGGTGTTTAGACGAAAGGAAACGTGGTTTGAAAAATGTCATTTGCTTTTTCTATAAGCAAGGTGCGGGATTGCTTAAAGTCAGAAATCATACATTTTATGGCCACATGCAGGAGCCAAGCCCGCACAGCTGTAAAATAGAAACTCAAATACAGCAAGTTTAGCCTCAAAGGCCTGTCAGAGAGAGGGCAAAGGCCCATTTTGTAAGATCTCATTTTAATTTCACAATAGTCCAAGAATTGAACCCGTGCTTCTGCCAGGTACGCTACGACGACGAACTGAAGCGTGTGGTAGCGGAGCCGGTGGAGCTGACCCAGGAGTTTCGCAAGTTTGACTTGAACACACCGTGGGAGGTGTTCCCCGCTCACCGAGAGGCCAAGGAGGCTCCGCCCATACTGGAAGCTGGAGCCGAGGCTTCTGAGAAGTGATCCCAACCCTCCCTCCCCACACCTCTTTAGTGTATACAAATACCATCATCAAGTTGGGTTTTCGACCCTTGTGAAACCCACAGAAATATTTATGTAAATAAAAGTGCTTAATACAGAAAAAATAATGCTGTGTTATTTCCATGTCACAACAATGTTACCCGCTGTAGCTAGAGACTGCATGCCACAGTGTCATTTTAAGTAATCCACAAACAGAGCAGATGGTTAAAATGTTAGATTTTGAGATTTCACAACATCCCAAAAATTGTCAAAGTATATGAAAATAAGTGATTAGTAGCCATCATGCGTCATGAGCTAATGTGTTTTTAGCCGATTTGTAGTGAGCATGTTTTCAGAAATCCTCATACTTGGTCTCAAAATAACCTGGAATTCATCTGTCTTTTTGGCAGTTATTTCCCTAAATGCACATAACAACCAATAAAGTAAAAACACTAATCAAGCAGATGTTGCACTGCTGTTTTCAGCTTGGACCTATAATGCATCGACTAAAACTCAGTGTTAAGATTCAGTATACGGACATTGGCAAATGTATTTTTAATCCAAATATGGAGTTTATCTTTAGTTCCTAGATCACTTTAATGGGTCTATTTTTCTTTTTAAATTAATGTAGTCATGTACTGCAGTGTCCTGGAAACTAAAGCAATGTCACACAAGCAATGGACAGCTGATGTTATCAGGTTGCAGGGTGCATGAAAGGGTTAACACATCTCTGTGTGATTTGTGGATTGCTAAAATGCTGAATTTGGGTATCACCACACACTGGAACACTTTGTTCATGATAGTTTGTGTTCCTTTTCAAATGGAAGAAGAAAAAATCTAATATTTAAAGGGTCATCGATCCTTCCAAAGCCTGTGTCCCTCCCTCGGCATGCATTGGGGCGTGGGGGACTTGGTGTAACTTGTTCTGTATTTATAAATTGTTGATTTGTTGCTTATGCAGTATAATGAATGTAAACAAAACTGTTGAACCATCAAAGATGTTTTTATTTTTGTTAACCATCAAAACTGGATGAGATCTTCAAAGTCAGTTGAGGCTAAAGCCCCATTTTTGTTGTTTCCTATTTCATCTGTTGAGTAGCCAAATTTCCTCAGCCTTTCGAGCAGGAGTGTCAAACTTGCTTTGGAGTTACAGCTTCCCTCAGAAGGGCCGTTATGACAATGAAACCAAATGAATGTTTAATCGTCTCATCGCATGATTACTTGTTCACAACAAATTGATAGATTACCAGTTTTGAAATCCGTCAAATCAACGGTAATAATTTGATGTATTATTGTTCAAGTGAGTGTATCGGTAAACAGAGTAACAAAACTATTGCAAAATCTCAACGTTATTTATTACAGATAATAATTTCACGTTTTTGGTACAAATTTTTGGCAAGAAATAAAATACAGTATTGTAGAACATTTTATTTTAGTAGTTGAATTAAAAGTACAAGATAGTTTTATAAAACACAAAGGAAACGCCAGGAAAATAAGTTTCAAAATCCATTTCTTTCCATATTTACACATTTAGAAGCAAAATATATACAATGAATTACTTGAGATGATCTTGTGAGCGGTCAACCATAATTCAAACGCAATGCTCCAGACTGGCCCTAAATGGTAGTGTGGTGGTCGTAAAATTTACTTGTGCATTGCAACCAGTAAAAAACAAACTTCTGCTCCACACTAAAGGCCATTTATCAGTAACATAGTGAAAATGCGTGGTGTGAACTTTTACCTTCTAAGTCAACTTACAGTGTGCGTCCCTGAATTTTTTACTTGCGCTCCTAAAATTTCAGGTTAGGGGCCTACTGTACTCCTAGTAAAAAAAAGAAAACAGTTAATCTGGAGCTCTGAAAAATTTTAAAAATCATGAAACATTCCACTCAGTGTAATGATTCTAGTTAATGGGTTACTGAAATAAATGACATGATTCGCCATAATTTTTTGGTTTGCTGCAATGCTTTGGAAAAATCTTTCACTTTTCAGAAATTCTTAAGTTTGTTTGCATAGTTTCCCCACTTCGAGATCATCAAACAAATGTTTGAAGCCAATTTCAGTGAAATTGGGACATTGTGTGAAACATAAATAAAAACAGAATGCAATGATTTACAAATGATGCTCAACCTATATTTAATTGAATACACAACAAAGACAAGATATTCAATGTTCAAACTGATCAACTTGATTGTTTTTAGCAAATAATCATTAACGTAGAATTTTATGGCTGTAACACGTTTCCAGAAAAACGAGAGAGGTGGCAAAAAAGTTGAGGAATACTCATCAAACACCTGTTTGGAACGTCCCACAGATAAACAGGCTAACACGGAACAACGGACATTTGCAAAGAATTAAGGGATTTCGTCATCAACTACATAATATCATCAAAAGTTTCAGAGAATCTGAACAAATGACTGCATGTAAGTGGCAAGGCCGAAAACCGAAAACATTGAATGTCGGTGACTTTTAATCCCACAGGCGGCACTGCATCAATGTGTGAAGGATATTCCGAAAACCCATGTCGGTAAATACAGTTTGGTGCTACATCCATAAGTGCCATCTGTGAAGGCACCCTTAATGCTGAAAGGTACATACAGCTTTTGGAGAAACATATGCGGCCGTCCAAGGTGTCCAACGTCTTTTCCATGGACGCCTCTGCTCATTTCAGCAAGACAATTTCAAACCACATTCTGCACGTGTTAAAACAGTGTGGCTTCATAGTAAAAGAGTGCGAGTACAAGACTGGCCTGCCTGCAGTCCAGACCTGTCTCCCATTGATAATGTGTGATGCATTATGAAACGTAAAATACACAACGGAGACCGCTGCCTGTTGAACAGCTGAAGCTGTACATCAAGCAAGCATGGGAAAGAATTCCACCTACAAAGCTTCAACAATCAGAGTACTCAGTTCCCAAACCTTAATTGAAGGTTGTTAAAAGAAAAGGTGATGTAACAGTGGTAAACATGACCCTGTCACAGCTTTGTTTGGAACGTTTTGCAGCCATAAAATTCTAAGGTCATGATTATTTGCTTAAAACAATATAGTTTATCAGAATGAACATCAAATACTCAAGTATCTCGTGTTTGTAGTGTTACCATTTGAATAAAGGTTGAACATGATTTGCAAATCAGTGTATTCTGTTTTTAGTTCTGTTTCACACAATGATCCAACTTAATTGGAATTGGGTTTGTAAATATCAGACAAAAATAACCTAAAATGCTGTTTTCAATTGTTATACGCACGCACGCACGCAGGCACGCACACACACACACACACACACACACACACACACACACACACACACACACACACACACACACACACACACAATTTAACGGCACTGAGCATCACCATATAGCTATAGTTAGATAATGGTCACAGGGCTCCAGTCTGTTTCTAAATAGCAGTATTGTGCCGCAAAAATTTGAGGCAGTTCAAATAAATGTTTCATCTAATTGAACGTGTGACCGGTAAATGTGCTATTTTTTGTTGGTTTTTTTTTTTTTTACACTGTTTTTGAATAGGTTTTGTTGCTGATGAACTAGTACTCCACATTGCAGCCTATTTATTAGTAATACAGTAAAAATGAGTGGAAATGTGAAGATTTACAATGTGCGCCCTAAAATTTAGGGGTCACTGTGTTCCTAAAAAAGTAATTTGAATAGGAAAATAAGCTTGCATATACATTGGAATCATTTAAATATGGTTGGAAAAACCCACCTTAATTTTTTTTGTCGAACTGGTTGGGAGATATGAGGAAGATTTGACAAGCTTAAGGGTATCATTCTTTATATCCATCTTTCTTGTTGAGTCGACGCTTCAGCAGGTATGCAAGCACAAAACTATTTACAATAAACTGAAGAAAGCCGATGGAGAAAATGCCATAGTTCACATAGAGGAAGCCGCCAATGGTCGGTCCAACTGTCCGAAGTAGAGACTGAACTGATGCACACAGTCCCAACATTGTGCCTAGACAAGGAAGCAGAAGAGGTATCAATTAATAACCTTAAAGAAAGAATACATTTTTCGTGCATCTCGCATATCGGGTTGTGTCCAAATAGGTCTTTTGGCTTGAAGTAAACACTAAAATGGCACTGTAATTATCCTATCAGCAGTTTTGCATGCTTGTCTTTGTAAAATGTGCAGTAAATTAGTTTGTTATGAGATAGAAATGAGGTATTGAACTTCGTCTGTTGCGCCTGGGAAAAACGCTGCACACAAAAAAAACAAAACAAAAAAAAACAAAAAACAATTTGCTGACATCAACTCAGCAGGATCTTACCTGTATCAGAGGGAGGTACACTTTTGGTGAGCAAACTGTCTGTGATGACATTAAAAATGCTGAGGGACAAGATCATGGGGACCACAGTCAGGCAGAACTGGAACACATTCTGCATGTGAGCCTGCAGGAAGAACAGATTTCAGAGACCTCCTTGCACTTTTTAGTAGACTGGCTTTAACATGATACGTCAAATGATGTGCGCGTTTTGGGTTTTTTTTTCGGTGTGTGAGGACGGTGTGTACCTGAGCCAGGCCCACAAAAGCAGAAATTCCAATAGACAGAAGTAGCAGTGAACTCTCAGAGTATCTTGATGTAAGTCGCCCAATCACTCCGCCCTGAACCACCTGAACAAATGCTTGCCGTTTCATGACTTCATTGTATAGTCCGTGCAACAAAATAATATGATTGTATTTTCTGCACTATGAGGCGCTTGAGATTATAAGACACACCTTCAATGAATGGACTATTTTAAAACTTTTTTCATTTATCCGGCGCACTGCATGATAAGGCGCATAGGCTAGAAGCTACAATAGTGGCTGCGGTTGCGCTATGCATCCACTAGATGGTACTACGCTAAAGGGAATACAAAACAATACAGCTTTATTTTTATAGAGCCTTCACAACTGCTGCAGCTGTAACAAAGCCATGAAAAGTGGTCACAAACACAGAAATGAGGCATATAAATACAAATGGCATTACAAAAAAGTAGATGAAAGACAAAAGTTATGACGACAACTGATTCAACAAAAACGCACACAAACCTTATGGACTCACATCCACAAGGGGCGAAATATCCTTAGAAGTCTTGCTTGTCTCCTTCTTTCTTCGTTTAGTCAGTAGTTAACTATGCTTTTGGTAATATCTTCGTTTCATAATGGCTGCGCAGAGCTCACAAAGTTGTTGTCTGATTGTGTGTTGGCGAATGCTTTTTGGTGTGCCTTATAGTGCAGAAAATACGGTAACTTGAACACTACAGGAGATATTTGTTCATGACTCACCATCTGAGCTATTCCAAAATATGCCATTATGTATCCATTCTGCTCAGGTGTCAACTTGAAAAAGTCCAATGTGATTATAGAGAACATCACTTGGAAAATGCCTTCACAAATACAAGAGCAAATTATCTTGTGTTTATAAATCCACTGACCAATTTTGGTACATTAAAAAAAAAAAAAAAAGCTCTCACCTGATGGTAAGCCTGAAACAATCTTCACAACAAAGGTCGGTGTCACGCCTGGAAACTTCATGAGTCTTGTGATCTGGCCAACATCAAATATGGACTTGCTTTTGGTGTCCGCTGCAGTGCATTCAAAACATGATAAGTATGAGACGCATATGGCAAAGTGATGAGAGCAATATCCACGAATGATGACACACAAGCATTTAATACATTCATCTGACAAACTGCGATAGACCCAATAGTAGGCCAATCCTACTTTTTCCTTCAAAAGTATTGGAAATGTAAGGCCAATCTTATTCCAGATCCAAAATAAAAAGGAGTTCAATAAGACTTCATAAGTGGGATGTTTTTGACTTCATCTTGCCAAGTCATTCTCCAGATTTAAACCCAATAGAACATGCATTTCACATACATATTTTGATGTCAAATCCAAATTATGTCAGTCTGGAAAAAAAAAAAAAAATCACAAAGAAGCCTCGCTGCTCCGATGCTTTTGGGGCACAGTATAAGTGATCGACACAACTTATGCAACATACCTGTATATTATTAAGTACTGTTTTTAAATGTGTAAATAGAGAATTTTAACCGAGACATAAGTAATAGATATTTTGCCTGCAGTTAACAGAGTGCCAATAAAGATCCAAAGTACTTCAAAATTAAAAACGCAACTCAGTGAAACACACAAACCTGTCTTCTCCTCAATGTACGATATACATTTGATCAGTGTACAGTTTCCTTTCAAAAAAAATATAGGTTTGGCAAACTCAAGTGTGCCTTACAATCTGTTTTGGAGGCTGGACTTTGAACTTTAGTGGTTCGAGGAATAAAGCTTAATACCAACAGCAAACTGAATGCGCTCCCAGCAGCACCACTGCACGCAGCAAATCTCTCCCTGGGAAATACAAGGTCAACTTTGTTGTGTTAGCTGGAAAACATAAAACACCCATGCACTAAAAAGGTTAAAAATCTAATGTTTTCCTATTTGGGCAATTACAAGCTATGTTTTTGATATGACGTTTTTCTGAATCCATTCAGAGACACAAATAAATTCATCCAAATAAACAGAACGTTTGTAGGTCCCAGTTAGCGGTGGTGCGTGGATTAAAAAAAAAAAAAAAGTCCATAACATAAAAATGACAGAGTGACACTCACCCATAGCTTTTGACAAGATGGCCACCTATAGTGGAGCCAGCTATCATTCCAATGCCAAAACAGAGTCCTAGTTTGGAAAGTCCATCGGCACGTTTTTCGGGATCTGAAAGGTCTGATACAACCATCTGAGAAGCTGCAGGTAATACAATTTGAACATTGGAAGTTTATTCAAGCTGTTTATGTAAAAAGATGGAAGGTACTTGAAGTTATGTAAGAGAAGTTCAATGTGTGGCATGAGCACAATGGCGGATGAAATTAGTAATACAAAGAGACGCTCACCTGGGAGGACATGCATGACAATTGTGGGGAGTTTGTGCACAAAAAGCATGACAGGAGAGTCTGCAATAGCCAGTAGAATGAAGAAAACAATGTTGGCGGTGCATGCCAATGACATTGCTGCTCGGGCCCCGAGAACATCCGCAAACCTACCAAACAATAAAGGAAGCGCAACAACACAGGTTGAGCTCGCTCACGACAAAAGTCTGAAAACATCTCAATGATACTTGCCCGGACTTACCTTCCAAACAAAGGCCCGCCAAACAGCTGCATGACACCAACCGTGGTTTGTAAATAACCAAACCACAAAGTGTCAAAGCCCAGTTTCCTTGCCAAAAACTGTTAGAAGCACAGAACAGAGAGACTTTTTCAAACTTTAACATGGCATGAGATGTTCATTATTATTGCAGCTAACAGCCACGCTGTTTTCTTATATGCATAAAAATTGTAAATTGAAGTTTTCTTTTTAAGCTAACACTCTATATGTATGTTATTTGGCCTTCTCAAGAGAACAAGTCCAATTTGATGATATGCCCTGTTGTAGAATACTAATTTCAGAGCCACAACTTTCAGAGTGCAAAAACGTGGGGCCAAATGAATTCCATCACACTTTTGGTAAGATCGCATCAAGGTGTTGATAAAAATGACAAATATACGTATATGGATCGCTCTCGGAAATGGTGGTCTGCCTTGGGCTGGAGATGGTGACCCATTTTGAGATTTCGCTTTCAAATCACTCACCAGATTTGACCGTTTCAAATCATAATGCAGAAATAAAATAAACAACCTTGTGGAAATTTGTGCTGATGTTTTTTGTCAGTGTTTTCTGAACATTGAATAATAGCCACAGTGACTACCGGTACTGCCTCCATGTCAGCAAGAATCTTTTATACCCTTCAAATAGATCAGTTTCATAAACAGTTCAGCGATTTCCCCGCTGTCCATGATGTGACAATACGGCGGCACAAAAAAATGCTCGTTTCACAGTCCACAATGTACCTGCGTGGAACTACTGGCCATTAGAAACTAAAGCTGGATGTTCTTTTGTTTCATTTTAAAACATGATGTTAATGCGTTCAATACACTTTTTTTGTTTCTACCGTGACAATTGAGTCGTTAATGCCTTGAGCGTGGTGCCCAGTTTAATTGGAAACGACAATACAATAAAATAGATGGACATCTTTTTACGTTAGTTGCATTTTGTGTGTGTGTATGTGTGTATTCTTGAGCATGAGTCAGCAGGATTGAAAAGGCACACAGTCCAGCTGCAGAAATTGCAGGTTTTGCTAAGAGAACAGCTGATTAGTTGATAATATGCACCGTGATCCCGAAAAGCAACAACCATACATGTGAGCCATTCTTTCTGTCTGGTCAACATTCAGAGGAAATTTTCTACGCATTTACAGTTTGTTCTTGCAATTGAAGCTTTCACCAATCTGATTTCAAATTTACCTCAGTGGCCATCTAGCTGGCCCACAACCATGTCAGCATTTTTGTCTTCCTCTGATGGTTGGTCAGACCAAGCAAAAGGTGCATATAGCAAAACATGTAGAAAATGCTCGTTTCACAGTCCACAATGTACCTGCGTGGAACTACTGGCCATTAGAAACTAAAGCTGGATGTTCTTTTGTTTCATTTTAAAACGTGATGTTAATGCGTTCAATACACTTTTTTTGTTTCTACCGTGACAATTGAGTCGTTAATGCCTTGAGCGTGGTGCCCAGTTTAATTGGAAGCGACAATACAATAAAATAGATGGACATCTTTTTACGTTAGTTGCATTTTGTGTGTGTGTATGTGTGTATTCTTGAGCATGAGTCAGCAGGATTGAAAAGGCACACAGTCCAGCTGCAGAAATTGCAGGTTTTGCTAAGAGAACAGCTGATTAGTTGATAATATGCACCGTGATCCCGAAAAGCAACAACCATACATGTGAGCCATTCTTTCTGTCTGGTCAACATTCAGAGGAAATTTTCTACGCATTTACAGTTTGTTCTTGCAATTGAAGCTTTCACCAATCTGATTTCAAATTTACCTCAGTGGCCATCTAGCTGGCCCACAACCATGTCAGCATTTTTGTCTTCCTCTGATGGTTGGTCAGACCAAGCAAAAGGTGCATATAGCAAAACATGTAGAAAAAAATTATTAATAAACTGAATCTCTAGTGACTATGATGTATTTGTAAAATTAAGAGGTTGATTATCGCGGGTGAATCCCCACTGAAAGCCGAGGTATCAAATGCCACCACATTGCCTTAATGTCATAACCAATGGGCATAATAGTGATTTAATCTTACAATGTACTGGAAAGTAATTGGAAATCAACAGTGATGTATCACAAAATGTAAAATATTACATTACACTGCGGTGTCCAATGTTAATTTTGCAGTGTAACATGAATTTTGGTTTGCTCAAATCCACAGCAGCGATGAAGTATAGACTAAAATGGTCACTTCCGGAGCAGCGTCCACTTCATAGTATTCACGGAAAACTAATGGTCGTCCAACGCGACAGAAAGATGGACACTTACCGGCGTTATGGAGAACTGTAAAAACATCCATGTTATGTCCAACGCAGCGATTACATAAACGACGTAAATAGTTGTTTTCTTCTTCAAATGAGTAGCAGCGTTAGCTTTATAGCTAACCGGAGAAGTTACGTCGCTGGTTTCAACTCTTGCGGTCATGTTGCCTAAAGCGTGAAAAACAAAAAATGAATGTATTGAATTTTTATCCCCCGGATAGGTCGCTGGAACAAACTCAATTTCGGAAAAGAGGTGAGGTCGTTAGGTCAGCTGTGCGGAACGTCGGCCACCGTCAACTCGTTTCAGTATGTCTCATCGCTGAACTTTGGAACGTAAACCGAAAGTAAAAGAACGTGACAAGGTAAAACAAATGGTAAGAAGAATTCGTCACGAAAAACACTCAACAAATTGTTAAGTGGTGTTCATTGGTCAAATACAAGGTGGGGGGAGGGGGGGGAGACAACATATTTCCCTTAAAAAACAGGCAATAATCAAGGAACACTGAGCATCCCAAAATATTTTCGTCACGACACATTTAATTACTTCTCGGCAGAACGTACATTTGTGTTTCCCTCCCAATGATTTATTTAGATTTATTTAAGATGCCGCGTCTGGAAATACTCAAATGAGGTTTCTGGAATAGAATTTTAAAAAGTAATTGTGTCAATGTGTTCATACTATATGTTTATAATCAATATGTTTGGTTACACTGGTCAGGAACGTTTTTCTCAACGGATTTAGACGATTCACAAAAATGATCAATTTAAGAAATAAAACGGCGGATTTCCGCGAATCCGCGGAAAATTGCCATGTATGCACATTTAATTACTTCTCGGCAGAACGTACATTTGTGTTTCCCTCCCAATGATTTATTTAGATTTATTTAAGATGCCGCGTCTGGAAATACTCAAATGAGGTTTCTGGAATAGAATTTTAAAAAGGAATTGTGTCAATGTGTTCATACTATATGTTTATAATCAATATGTTTGGTTACACTGGTCAGGAACGTTCTGTAAAGCACGAAGAGCCGAACGATTAGTAGGAGTTGTCGTAGTGTGTGTAAACAAGACGCATTCGGTTTCAAACAAGCACGAGTTTATTGTAGTCCTATCTCTAGCAGTAGTCGCACACTTCTCTTCAGCCTTCATAAGATAAAACATCCGGTCAGGCGTACATCCTGTTAGGTAGCTTTCAGAGTCAAAGCATTACAGCTATTACCACAGGCGTAACACCTAACAGAACAACACTGTTAACCACTACTACGATAATACTTGTTACAATATCTTAAAAGTACATACCGATTGCCGTTTTATTTTAACCTGAACTCTCTACATTACTTTTATTTTGGAAGTTGAGGAGCCGGCCGCCACATCCCGGAAGTGTAATCCACCACTGTGTGTTACGTGCTCCTTGTGCGGCGTTTTGGTGTGCGGGTTAAGTCTACTGTGTGTAATTTCGGATATTTTGTTGTGTCGTCGTGGCATGTAGATAAAAAAAGAGAACTCGGTTGCAATGCAGATCCTCACGCCTTGCGTTTACTGGGCTCAGCGACACGGAGAGATTTATCTCCGAGTGGAGCTGAGCGATACCAAGGTAAAGTACAGTGTATTCCATCTGCCTAGCAGCTTCCAGCTTTAACTTGGCCGTACTACATATACATTCAGAACTCATATATTCTGGACAGATTTCTTTTCTTTCTTACTTGCTTTCTCCGCGAATGGATTGCATTATTTTAGGTATTGCGTTGATTTTCCCCAAAGAGGGCTTACCAATGTTTTTGAAAAGCATGATTCATGCGAAGGGCTATACTCATACACACTTATGAAACAACAAATTTGCCCAAATTACCTTGAATTGTGTCATTATTAATAACGAACGTCATTCATCTTTTTGAAGTCTGTGATCATGTTAATGATTGCACACAACAATTCAAGGTTGTGATATAAAAAGCAATATGCAACACGCTATTTCTATAATCTCTGCAAACGTGTTTACATTTTTAAATAATCACCCTCGACCCTAAGTGGTTCATATAATGGATGAGTGGGCTTGTACAACATTCCTCGGATCTCATAATGTCCCATCACTCGAGAGCTATTTTAGGCTCACAAATGTGGCAATGCTTTTATGTTGCTTGAAACTTTGCTGTGAAGTCATCCCTTATACTGTAATGCCTTACGGGGGCATATTTAATAAGGGATATCCTGTATTGCATTGACCAGTTGTCATCTACAGAGACGTTATCGTCTTCTCGTTTTAATAATAAACCATTATTTGATAAATTTGGCTCATGCTGCCTTCATTTATGTTTACATATTTGTATATGTATATTTGTACATGTAAATTTCCCCAGTGTGGGACAAATAAAGAATATCTTATGAGATACTTGCTTGCTGTAAGCAACCCATTTCTCACAAACTCCTCGCACAGCATCTGTTTAACTAATGTCCAATAAAAGATGCATGGCTTAATGGAAGAGCTGGCTTTTGTTCAGGCTCTCCAGTGAAGACTTGAAACAGGATGACAGTGACGCATTTGTTCCATTTATTTGTTACACCTCAATAAAAATGAGAGATGGATGAACAGTAACATCCTTTACATTGACAATGGCGCAAGTCTTTAATGAAATTCAGATTATATTGTCTTAAGTTTGGATCTAAGTTAATTTTACTGTGTGTCTTTCAGAATCTTGAAATCAACCTGCAAGACAACACAATTCAGTTCAGAGGTTTGTATGTGCATCTTGGTGTTTTTGCTTACGTCTTCACACTATCTAAAGAAGCAAAATGCAATGTGTCCAGTTAAAGTATGTTGCTCTACAGTACCTCCTTATTAGGTTTAGTTGAGACTAACTGTAGCGTAACATTTTTCAAATATTGTTGGAATCATAATGTTCTTGTCTTTTGCAGCACAAGGCCATGGAGCTAAAGGAGACAATGAATACAAGTTTAGTTTGGAATTTTTGGAAACCATTAGACCTGAGGTATTGTTGTCTTATTAATTTTATTCTTCACTTTCAGCTTGTTGTACTTCACTTGCTCTGTCTTTCTGCCTGCACTTACCAATCCAACTGCTCCAATTACCTGTCTCCCCACAACACGATATATGTTTTGAGCAGCCCTTATATGCAAACATTGAAAGGAAATTGGAGAATTGCCCTATGATTTAGTCGATACGAACATTTTGGACTCTGGAGTGCTTGCTCTCCCATCGGGTGTTTTTATTTTTATGTGGTCTGCACGTCCTCTCCACTGTTATGTAACCGCACAGGCCGAAGCACTATTTTGCTATCATGTCAAAGCCAAAAGGCAAGCAGCAGTAGTACAATGCTCACAGTGTTACCACCAGCATAGCCAAAAGGCAAGCAGCAGTAGTACAATGCTCACATTACCACCAGCACTGGCTTCCAACAAGAATTCTGTAATAATGTCTAGTTGTCCAGTTGTAGGGATGTCCGAAACCACTTTTTTTTTTCCCAAAATGATGCCGGTGCGAGTTTTTCAACTCTTGAGTACTCACAGATACCAAGTAACAGATACCACTTTTACTTATGATACATACAATTTGTATTAAACCAATGACAGCTAAAAAAAGATAGATTTTAATTTATTTCTAACAAAAGGCAGAACAAGTCACTGCAATAGAGTATTTTAGTTCAAAATAAAACACAAACTACTCACTCTGATTTAGGATTCATTTGTAATAAATTAACAAAAGTGCAAAATAAAACGGACTTGTTTGAAGCAGTTATAGATGAAAAAGGAGAGAATCACAGTCTCCTTTCACCAGTGTCATCATGCTTAAAACGTGCATGACGTCCCACACGTCTGCTACAAACTAAATTTGAAAGTAAACCAGAAGCTCCAGCATCCATTGGCGAACAGAGAAATTGGTTCAATTCTCCTGTCCCATTGACATCCGCTTCAATTCCAAGTAGCAACTTTCAGTTCCAAATACACATTTGCACTCCACGCAGACACGCCTCTCCTCATCTTCAGCTCCACCAGCCATCCATCTAGCTGCACCGATGCAGACTGTCCAACAGCGCCAACATCTCTGCTGAACAAAACGGGGCTGTGAAAAATGCTGCCCATTACAGGCACAAAAGAGCACAAACTTCCCGGGGCTGTCATGCGGTGATAGTCAAATAGCACTGACATTCTCCCCTCCCCCCATCGAAATCAGTGCTGACCTCCACATGCTCCTGAAAAGACATAACCATCAAGCACAGATTTTTCTCCATTGACGAATGTCGCGGCCAAAACGCTGAGAATAGTCCACACCGGGTCCACACGAAGGCAGAATACACCAAATGACAAAAACAACAACAAACAGCAGAGCTCTTGAAGAGCTCTTGAAGATGGCCGCCGACTATGGCGTCGTCATGGAGGAAGTTCAACTGTTCACTGTTAAGCATGTCACTTTAAAGTTTGAAAATAAGTCAGGGTGATACAGCCGGAAAATGTATCAAAATATTTCTTATCGTCTGATGTTGATCAATATTGATTTTTTTTTTTTTTGTCACCATCCAAAGGAAAAAAATACTACTTACACTACATATTACAAAATATAGATGCATACAAGTACAAAAAATAGGCAACGGATGATTATCGTCCTTTGTATAATTGGGTTGGGTGATTATTGGGAAACATAATCACGATCATTTTGACTGAGATTGAAACTATGAGTAATGAAATAGTTATTCACCGTTTGCAGTTGTAGTATTTATTCTACTAAAATTCATCAACTCATAACAAGAATCATAGCCTCATTACCATTTCGTCCCTGAACATTGAACACTTTATTCTTGAACACGCTCTTCTTTTTGTCAAGTACAAAATGACCATCATGTGAAACTGAAGCCTCTTCCCTTTTCATTCCTTTAATGGCTTGCGTCTTTGCACACATTGAAGCCTTGAATAAGTATTACCCTTGTGGTATGTTTTTACCATATTTATTTTATATTATTTTCACATGTCTTGGGTTTTCCATTCCATTCCATTTTTTTTCCCAAGATGGCGCCCGAGTAGGCAGCCGTCAGCAAGTGCTCTTCAAGAGCCTTGCCTTTGTTGTTTTTTTTTTTTGTTGTTGTTTTTGTGTTTGTTTTGTTGTTACGTAGACATGATGTGGATTGTTTTCGGTGTTTTTTTTGGCCACGACATTCGTCAAAGGAGAAGAATCTGTGCTTGGTGGTTGCGTCTTCTTGGCAGCGCGCGTGTACCAGCACTGATTTTGATCGGAAGGAATGTCTGCGCCATTTGACAGTCGGTGCTGGACAGCCCCGGGGCATATGTGTTTATTGTGCCTGTAATGGGCAGCATTTTTCACAGCCCCGTTTTGTTCAGCGGAAATGTCAGTGCTGTTGGACATTCTGCGGCTGGATGGATGCATGGCTTGAGGAGCCGACGATGAGAAGAAAGGAGCGTCAGCGCAGATGCGGATGTGGAACTGGGAGTCGCTGCTTGGAAATGAAGCGGATTTACATGAGACAGAAGATGTGAGCCAATATCTTTTTTCATCAATGGACGCTACAGCTTCTTGTTTGCTTTCAAACTTAGCTTGTAGCAGACGTGTGCACATTTTCAGCATGACGTCTCTGATCAACTGGTGAAAGGACAGTTTGATTCTCTCCTCTTTCATCTATAACTACTTCAAACAGCAAAGCGTATGCAGAAAAATTGGTTAAGATTGCATGACTGTGTCTTACGTGTTGTGTTGTATTATTTTGTCATATTATGTTAACTGTTCTGTTGATGGTGGCGTGGGCACCTGCAGCGGCTCCTCTCTCTCCTGTGGTTGAGAGGAAAGAAATTTCATCTGTGCTGTATGTTGCACATAGGGCACATTTGACAATAAAGTTGACTTGATTAGCATTTCAGTGGTATTTACATTGACTTTAGCATTAGTGGCTAGAGATATTTTAAAAACGAAGCATGTGTTGTATTTAAATATACAATGTTAAAATTCAAATTGATTTAATGAATCGAAACCTTTGTGCGTGATGAATATGCAAATAACAGAAATCAGGAAGGGGGGGCAAATACCTTTTTACGACATTGCATGTTCCTTCATCACCGTGTTCCTTTCAGATTGAACATAAGTCAACACAGCGTCAGGTAGACATCAAAATCAAGAAGCAGGAAGAGCGCTGGTGGGACCGCCTGACGCTGCAGGAGAAGCGGCCTCTCTTTCTGGCTCCTGACTTCAACCGCTGGCTGGATGAGTCCGATGCTGAGATGGAGCTTCAGGCAAAGGTAGAAAACTCACAGCCAGGCTGCTTTTCAGCACTCAATATTCCTACATCTGAAATTCCCTCTTTCTGTAACATAGTCGCTGTACTCTTCAGTTACGGAAATATTGTTTCTGTATTCACCAAGACATATCAACCAAAATCTTGACAGAAAATTTTTCTAACTGCATTTATTATTCGAGTATTGATTTCATGTTTTGTGTTAAATGTTTTTAAGTAGCGCCTTAGGGGCGGCACGGTGGACGACAGGTTAGCACGTCCACCTCACATTGCAGAGGTCAGGGGTTCAAATCCAGGCTCCGGCCTTCCTGGGTGGAGTTTGCATGTTCTCCCCGTGCCCATGTGGTTTTCCTCCAGTTTCTCCCACGTTCCTAAAACATGCATATTAGGTCAATTGCACACTCTAAATTGTCCCTAGGCGTGATCGCGAGCGCATCTTGAGGATGAGTGATTTCGAGAAAGAATGGATGGACTTTAAAAACTAGCCAGACAAAAAAAAAAAATCTAATTCTCTGAGAGATGTGAATTTTGGGAAGAATAAAATGTTGATGTGTTATTTTTCTTTTAGGAGGAAGAAAAGATTAACAAGATAAGTGTGGAGTCAAGAGTTCGGAAAGATCGTGAGTCCTGATGAAATTCTCTCCTGCATACAAATCAAAAACTCAAATACACCACATGACATCATCACTTTCTGTTCATTTCATTCTCCTGCAACAGCCTACCTGGGCTTGAAGAAAGGCTACTTATTTATGTACAATCTGGTGCAGTTCCTTGGATTCGCCTGGGTCTTTGTCAACTTGACGGTTCGACTCTTCATTCTTGGTCGAGGTTTGTAAGGTTGCAGGCGTGTGCCCTGGCTCTCCATGTGGCACTACTTCTCCCAACCCACTGCCACAATCTTTTTCTTTCCCACTTGTATTTTATTGCTATTCCTCCGTTTTTCTTTCTGAATATTATTACTTATGAGAATGATGTGCAGAGAGATATTCCCTGCGCCAGTGTTGGGTATGGTACACATTACTTCTTCCACAAAATATTTGAGTTGCTCAGTCAGTTATTGCCTTGTAAAAATAATTAGTTACTCACCAGAGTAATGATAATTTTCTATTATGTTATATCTGTAGTGTAAAAGATGCTTAATAAAAACTATATATTTTAGAACATTTGGTATTTATTCAAACTCAGCTGATTTCAACTTGGCCACATGCATAGAAATAAAATTGCATAAAAATTAAATATTGAAAATAAGCAGGGCGGCCCCATGGGCGACTGGTTGGCGCGTCGGCCTCACAGTGCAAAGGTGCAGGGTTCGATTTCGGCTCCGGCCTTCCTGTGTGGAGTTTGCATCTTCTCCCCGTGCCTGCGTGGGTTTTATCCCGGGTACTCCGGTTTCCTCCCACACTGCAATGCCATCTTTTGGAGAACAGACGGAACAGAATCATGATATAAATACTCAGATCAAGCATCTTAAGCTCGATTGATGTACTGCTATATGGTGTCCGCAGGTGGTTCATTGCTTGGGACAAACGGTTCTGTACAAGTATCTAGTCTGCTTTCCTTGACGCAGGAATTTAGGCTGTTATTATTACACATGAATGTAATTTAATGTTGAAAACTACGTTCGATTGTGCGTGTGTGCACGAGATTACTATCACTGGTTAGGTTCGCCTATCTGCTCCGTTTCAAATGCATTTAATGCTTGCAGTCTCCATAACTAGGAAGTGATTATTCCCCATGCCATGCAGTCAGCAGTCAAAAAAACAAAATTCTGAGATATCGAGGACACCCAAGACATCCTCAACACATGCGGGACCAAGTCCAAGTATAAAGCAAGATTTTGCTGGGCCTCATTTACAAGATAATGCCGTTTCTTTGCTATTAACGTGGTTTGTATCTCATGCACTGATCTGCATTTCCCAGCTAACTATACTGAAAAGATAATTCATTAGATTGCTCGGTCACTCAAAAGTTAAAGTTACTTCTAACACCATTATCCTAACATAGCTTTATTCCCCACGGCACTTAACCACAGCACAAAACCAAGCCAGCTTTTTGTGTTTGTTTGCTTTGTTGCCCAAACGTGAATGCCTCTCCGTTGCTTTTTTTTTGTCCCCAGCTCAAAATGAGAAGAGAAAAGAACTTCACATCGGATTTATGTGACATAAAGACAAATAACAATCAGGCAGACATTGAAACGGCGCCACATGATGGTGTTGAGAGAGCTGCAGAGAAGCGAGTTGAGAGCGCACAGAGTGAACCATGGGGCGTGGGAGAGTGAGATACAAGCAGTGTGAGGCAGACCGAGAACAGACAGTTTGCTGCATCTATAGGCATTGAACAGTTATGCTTGTGATGTTGGAAAAAAGTCATTTGAATGCTTTATTTTAGCAGGAACGATGCAACCTTGCCTTTAAAAAAAATAGGATGCATATAAGATTTGCAGCTAATTTGCTGTCTTAGTCCCTGGTCAGGTTGTAGATACTGTAAAAGGAAAGGCTGTGCTGAAAACAATAACATGACAAATAAATAATACACAAACCAAATAATGATTAACTACAGTGAGTCAATTGACCATAGCATATGTGGATCTCTTCATTTTGAACTGCAGGCAAAAAGCAATGGAGATGAGGCAACAAGCCAGTATATAAAATACAGTATATTTGATGGCGATTGCTACACAATCCGCGCCCCCCCCCACCCCCCTAAAAAAACGGCCTGCAGGAGGTGTCCTACAGTGAGTAAAAGTCCTTCCTCAGGCTGCTTGAATGCTGCTGTGATCATGTTTCAGTTCATTGTCACTTGGTGTTCCGCTGCACTTGACCGAACTCCCAATTTGACATTCCAATGCGCTCTTTTCCATTTTTCAGCACATCAAACTGCTCTCAGTTCTGTAAATCCAACTTTAAAACATCTGAAAGCAGAAGCCCGTTTCGAGGGCGTCAAATCAAAGACTTAACGAAGCACGTGTTGTCGTGATCGACTTTTGAACTTGATTGAACCTGAGACAACAATTTTGGTTGGATTTTAGTTGCGGACATGATTAGCACGAGTTTGTTGTGCACGTTGATTAGCATGAAAGAAACAAAAAAGGTCAAGGAAACACTGAAGGGCCGTGTTGTCACAGATGTTCCCATTTGAAGAGTAGCAAATCACGAGGAGAGGGTGGCGGACAATTTGTTTTGCAAATGCCAGTGATTATTAATTATGATTATGGGCCGTGCCTGGTGCGATGCGCTGTTTCATCCTGGCAGCTTGTCTGCTTTTCTCACCGTTCCACAGATTCATTTCATGATACCTTCCACACCACAGCTGATGTGATGTACTTCTGCCAGATGATGGCCGTGCTGGAGGTGATTAATCCCCTGTTAGGCTTGGTTAAGACGGGCTTTTTTCCTGCCATGATACAGGTAAAGGGAAAACTCTTCCAATTAATCACTAGTTTACTCACTGGTTGATTGCATGCTGTTCCTATGATCACTCGTGAACATGTCCTGCCACAGGTCGCAGGGAGGAATGTCATTTTATTTGTCATCTTTGGCTGCTTGGAAGAGATGCAGAACAAACCTGTTATCTTCTTTGTGTTCTACCTGTGGAGCACCGTTGAAGTCTTCAGGTAAGCTATCCACACCGACACGCTGCTTTGGCGATGGCGATGACGATGACTGCCTTCTGGCTGGCGGGGTTTCTCACGCTTAGGTACCCTTTCTACATGCTGGCCTGCATTGGCACCGAGTGGAAGCTGTTGACGTGGCTCAGATACAGCCTTTGGATCCCACTGTACCCGCTTGGGGTTGTCGCCGAAGGTCATTACCTCCTGGTGGCTGTGTTGGTAAAAGGTCAACCCGGTCATGCCGTTTGTTGGTGACATCTTGTCTTCCTGCGAATTTGTGCAGCGGTGGCCGTGATTCAGTCCCTCCCCATCTTTGACGAGACACGCCTGTTCAGCCTCCCTCTGCCTGCGCTGCTGGGGCACTACTTAAGCTTTTCATACACTCTGCAGCTCTACTTGGTGCTCATGTTTCTGGGTAAGGCAACGACCACACACTTGCATCCTCACAGGCAAGCATGACCAAGCGGTGACATTTTTCCAAACTAAAACTAAAAAAAAAAAAAAAAGACACTTTGTTTTCAGGTTACATTGCATTAATTGCTATTCTGTGATTAGTGATGCTGATTGTGTAAGTGAGCTTGTAGTCCATCAACTAAATATTCACCAGCGTTTCTTTTCTTCCCCAGGGCTCTTCATTAATTTCCGATACCTCTACAAACAGAGGAGGAGACGTTATCGATCAAGGAAAAGGAAAGTTCACTAATGTAGGAAGACGTAACACATAGTTTGAGCCACAATACGTTTCTTTTTCCCCCCATTGCCTTTTCCATACAAGTCATACTGGTGAATATATTCTTGTTTGCCTCGATGGGAATTTCTTGATATTTTCTTTTCCTTAAATTGCTCTATCTATAAATTGCTCTATCTACAGTTTTACCCTACAGGTGATGTTTTTGACTGGCTCGTGTTTTGTTCATGTTTTGAGAGGATAAAACATGTTTTTTATAATATTATTTACATCATTAAATCAAATGTCTAGTTTTTCTTTTTCTTTTTCATCTGATATGATGTTCGAACCTGATCAGTTTCCTGCTGTTCTGTGTTTGAAACACAAGCAACACTGCTGTCATCTTGCAGGAGGAAGCTGGCAGGTTGAACCTTCCATCAGTAGCATAAATGAATTGATAAGGATTTCGTATTCTGAGATTGGCTGGCAACCAGTCCAGGATGTGCCCCACCTCTCTCCCAAAGTTAGCTGGAATATCCGTCAGCATGCCCTCAACCCGAGTGCAGATAGGCTGTATAAAAAAGTGATGATGGACTGGTGGATTATCTATTTTTTTTTTAAGTCTCCACCGAATGGCTTAATGCATTGTTGTTGCTAAATGTCAACGCACTTGAATAGTAGTCACACTTTCTTATGGTGTGGCCTGTTCATCGTGCCTCTGTAGCTGAGTTAATTGCATTCTCAGCGGCACCATTTTCATATGACAGCTCAATCCAAATGACTGCTGTTTGTCAACGCAGCATTTCCGTCCTAACACTCAAATGTCCAAGATGAGAAATTTGAAGTTGTATGCTTCATATACACGCAGCCTTACCATCCATCCATCCATTTTCCGATCCGCTTTATCCTCACAAGGTTCACGGGGTTCCTGGAGCCTACCCCAGCCCTCTTCGGGCAGTAGGCGGGGGACACCCTGAACGGGTTGCCAGCCAATCGCAGGGCACACAAAGAGAAACAACCATCCGCACTCACACTGAGGGAAAATTTTGAGTGTTCAATCAGCCTACCACGCATGCTTTTGGAATGTGGGAGGAAACCCACGCAAGCCCAGGGAGAACATGCAAACTCCACCCAAGAAGGCCGGAGCTGAAATTGAACCCGGTACCTCTGCACTGTGAGGTCGACGCGCGAACCTCTCGACCACGGGGCCGCCGCACTTAGTCTTACTTTGTGTATAATTTATTCAGATTCAATTAAAATGTCCATTTTTGGGAGGCAACTAATTCAGGGTGTACCCTGCCTACTGCCCGAAGTCAGCTGGGAAAGGCTCCAGCACCCCCGCGACCCTTCTCACTATAAAGCGGTTCAGATAATGGATGGATGCATTTTTGTGGAGGCCATTTTTTTCTGTTTTACACTGATTTACATTAGTTGTGTGTTTTGGTTGTTGAATGCTATGTTTGTATTTATTCTATGACCGTATTTTGGGAAACTCAAATAAACAACAAAATCTTATATTTAGGAAGCTGGTGTGTTGCTATTTCAAATACAGTAGACTAGTCGACGAAATGTTAGATGGAAGGAAGGATGTGAATGAAACGAATGTTTGTGTTCTGTCTCATACCTATAGGACACTGTTGAACACTGTACAAGGTGTAGTGTTCAAATTGGTCTAAAAGTTTGTTTTTATTTCATACTAATAATGTGCACAATATTTCCCTTTGGGATCACCATAAGCTGTTACTATGACACCCAATACTCTGTGGCATTGCTTGTTGGCTTTTTTTTTTTCTTGACTCCTTTACATTTAAAGACAAATCCATATTTCTACACCTTATTGCTTGTCACTTTTTTAACCTACTGTATTTAAATGATGACACCATGTAAAAAAGAGAGGTAATGTCAACTGTACTTGAGATACAGATGGGACTCAGATCTTGGGGCCTTGTAAGGCAAAAACCAGGGTCAGTAATAGAAGCATAAATGATGATGGAACAAATTTGGAAGAAGCAAGTTATTCCCCATCCGTGGACTTGTTTAGGAAGACTTATTGGTGTTGTCGGCTACAAGAATGATTTGTGGTGAAAGGGTTGTCCAGTTCCAGCCTAAAAGCCACCAGATTTGGTTCTTAACTAATTTAGCTTTTTTGTTTTGTTTTGTTTGCTCATGCAGGATACATTGTTAGTTTAGTCCTGATTACCTTGTCAGAATTCGGTTTGCAGCAAAGCTAATAAAATACGAAAACTAATTTGTGAATGCCAACTCTTGCCCCCATTGTTCCAAGTCATCAAAATGACTGGTGTGTGTATGATTAACTGTAAAGAAAAATCTTACCTTTGTATCATGTAAATTTCAGAGTTTGTTGCCTTTTACGTTTGCCTAGGCTAAAGGTGTTTAATCAGTAGGCTACTATAGCCTACTTTTACCAGATTTTGTAAATTATTTATATTATTTTTGAAACAATCTTGTCTACAGGTCTACTTAAAGTGACTGCTCCAGATGACTGCATCATTTTTGAAAATTTGAACCCTGTTTTGCATTACCCTGGTCACTTGATGACTGGTCAACAATTTTTTACATTTTTTAAAATCAGATATATAAGTAAACGTTTCAAGATGATTTTTTTCTGTACCATTTCTTAATCAGCCCTCGTTTTTCTTCTAGCTCATCTAAACTATTGTTATTGTATTATCACAATAATACAATAATAATAGTCTAAAATGTAAAAAAAAAAAAGACATATTTCGTAATATTTATGAATGGTTAGGTTCTGCTACAGGTGGATTTTTTTAACGTCATAACTACAAATTACAGCGCATGGTAAAATCCGTATTGAGCAAGCTTCGTGGGTCGAATATTAAAAAGAAAACATGAAAATATCTCAAAAACCTGATGTGCTTCGAAAAAAAATAGATTTTTAATCGGTGTCAAAAATACATTTAGGAACATAAAAGCATCTCTGGTTAAAATTTGTAGTCGACTAATCTAATTGAGAACAATGCTTAAGACAGCTGCACCGCGGTATTTAATTAGCTGAACGCCCGAAGGCTAATTATACGAGCGAGATGATCGTTTGTTTTGGTTGGTAAACAAAAATAAATGACATAAAATAATAATTTTAAAAAGTCTTGGCCACACTTATCATGACAGTACACAGCCCTAAATGCAGAGCGCAGATTAATGAGCATGACTGCATCTGCCGTCAATCAGCCGCCTGCAGTGTCATCGATATGAATGTTGGCTAATTGATACAGCCATATTTGTGAAAGGGAAAGTGAGAGAGAGGTGTTTGGCTCCAAATCCTCTTAGTGGCATTATGCTGAGCCTTGTTCTAGCCTTGACAAGCGGGGCGCCCTCGTAGCCCCCCCACCCCCCTCCCCCCAACCATACTCGGCGTCTCTTGAGTGGCTCAGGTGGCTTGAAGTGAAGCTCGCTCACGGGGAAGAACAGCCGAGCAGTAGGTAAGTCTGCTCGCTTTACACACTCAGTAAAATGTTTCTTTTATGGTTATCTTTCATTGTCGGACTGCATAAAAAAAGTCGTATTTAATTCTTTTTAAAATAATTTTAATTGTGACGTTGTTTGGCCGACTAATACCTCAATAACCATTTACACCATCGGTGTTCTTTACTGACGCGCGCTAATGTCCAAAATCGACCCGAACTAAAAAAATGTTTTGTGCGTGCTCACAGGGACCAAATTATGCGTGTAGTCATAGTAACAGCTGGCTGTTTGCATCTTTCGCTTCACCTACCTACAGCTATGCACTAGGAGGAAGGTATTTATGTTTGTATTGTTCTCACTGTTTTTCTTTGCTTCTCTTTGCTCTGTCACAGGTGGAAGTCGGCCACCATAAGATGAAACGTTTGGACTCATAAATGGATGTCTTTTCTCCACATAGCAGAAGAGGAACCATGAAGGACTGCATATGACGACATTTGCTTTTTTGACATGAGGACAATAATTGTGGCCCCTCGCCCGGGGAGATTTAGACGTAGTCGCGTCCTCTTTTTGACCTTAAGTGTGCTCTTGTGCTTTTTCTACATGCTGACCCTGAAAGCCAAGCTGTCAAAACTCAGAGTCTCCATCCATACGCGGGACATATTGGAAGAAAAAGGACTGGATGATGGTGCTGTAGAAGTCAGCTTTCGAGAGTTCACAGCACCCAATGCAACACAGGAGCGGGTCCCGGCACCGAAGAGTACGCAACCCACTTTGGTTATCGTCAACAGGACAGATATTGAGCAGTGTATTTATGTGGAACCGCAACCTCCCAAACCTCCACCAACCACCACAGCACCCACTCCACTCCAGCCGCCGCACAGAAAGGGCGAGTACCCGGAGGACATCTTCACGGTGGAACAGCGACGCCAAGGCTGGGTGGTTCTGCATGCCGTTGGGATGATTTATATGTTTGTGGCCCTCGCTATAGTTTGCGATGAATTTTTCGTTCCCGCTCTGGAGGTCATCACAAACAAGCTGGACATCTCCGACGATGTGGCCGGTGCCACCTTCATGGCCGCCGGCGGCTCGGCCCCAGAGCTTTTCACCTCCGTGATTGGCTGTTTTGTCTCCCACAGCAACGTGGGCATCGGCACAATCGTGGGCTCGGCCGTCTTCAACATCCTCTTCGTGATCGGCATGTGTGCCATCTTCTCTCGGGAGGTGCTGCACCTGACCTGGTGGCCGCTCTTCCGGGACGTGTTCTTCTACATCCTGGACCTCATCATGCTCATCATCTTCTTCCTGGATAACACAATGATGTGGTGGGAGAGCGTCATGTTGGTGCTGGGCTACATCAGCTACGTGTGCTTTATGAAATTCAACAGTCAGATTGAGCGTGTGGTCAAGACACAACTCAACAAGCACGTGAGCGTCGTCCAAGTGTGGACCACTGATGAGCCCGATAAGGTCAGTCACAATGACAGGAAACCCTTGTTTCTGTGTCTGTTGAAGTTAATACCTTGTGTTGCTAACAGCAGTCAATGACCGCTGAGATGATGTGTGCCCTGGAACTTGAGGGCTTAATAGAAGACAATACTTTGCCAGTAATGTACGATCCATCAATTTTCAACAGCACTTCTTATTCACGTCATGCGTGAGCCGGAGCCTATCCCAGCTGACTTTGGATGGCAGGCAAGGTACACGACCTGTGGACCGGTTGAAGTCAATCGCAGGGCACATATCTCATTCCCATTTACACCTATGGAGAATTTTGAGCGTCACATTAGTGGTTTTGGAACATGGCAGGCAGGAGAGTGCGAGGAGAAAACCCACGCAAGCACAAGCACAAGAACCTGACACCACCATAACTCTGGTAAAGTCTACTGCTTGTTTAGTGCAGGTTTAAGCAAGGACTGTGAAGTATTCACAATGTACTGTCACAAAATAATTCCCAATTTATATGCAATTTGTGATATGTGCATCTCGATCAAAACATGAAATCAAAACGAATATAATTGATACTTCTGTTAACACATAATGCTTGGAAGGCTCTGTTTTATTGAAACATGAAATGAGTTGGTAACTTTATTAATTTTGATTAATCAAAAAATCAAATATAAAAAACATGTTTTAATTTCTCTCCCTTTTTATTCAAAGACTGGAATGTTTTTTTTTTTTTTTTTTTAAACGCAGAGCGCAGAAAATGCAGTAACAGATTTCTTTTTTTCAGTTACTGGTTTGGTCCAAAACGTGTCATAAAAAGGAAAAAATGGTCATCATTGTTTTCCAAAGTGAAAACATATGGCTTACTTTGATTCAACACCAAAATAATATTGAAGCAAATGAGATGCAAGTAAGTTTTTTTCCATTACAGTGGTACCTCTATTTACGAAAGTCTCTTCATACGAAATGTTCAAGTTACGAAACGCCTCAACAAGAAAGTATTGCTTCTTGTTACGAAAGAAATTTCAAGATACGAAAGGTAAAAATACAGTAAGGCCTGCTAGTCACAGCTCCGAGTTTCCTGAACGCAACATAGTAATAGCTGCTCTGTCATTGGCCACTATCGAGCATCATCCTGGCATCCCATTGGCTAAGAGGGACCTCTACCATAGTGCCTATGTGTGTAGATAGAATGTGTTTGTGCAGTGTCCTCATCATTCACCCCTCGGGCCATGAGGTGTTCCGATAGTTTTACGTAAATGTGAATCACCCAGAAAAAGTGTTCACCAGTCGGGCGATATGCTGGTCTTTGCCTTGGACGTTTTAGAGAGATTGTTAAAAGCCGACAAAAGCAAACGTATATAAACAATAATAATATGTTATATATTTATAATATATATATAATATTATAATATTCATGAATTAAGAGTTAGGTTCAGCCACAGCTGGAATTTTTTTTGGGGGTGGGGGGGTGGAATGTTGTAGCTACAAATTATAACGCATGGTAAAATCCTTCTTGTCTCAACTTTTATAGATCAAACTTAAAATTTTTGAAATCACCGTCATAAATGTGTCGAGGCGCAGGGGTGTCTAACTCATTTTTGTTGCAGGCCAACTCAACTTAACTCAACTCAACTGTATTTATAGAGCACTTTCAAACAGCCATCGCTGCATACAAAGTGCTGTATGGGGAGCCAGTGAAGGGATGCCAGAGTAGGAGTTATGTGCGCCCTCTTACGAGTACCACCACGAGGCCACATTATAGTTACCATTTCCCTTGGAGGGCCATTATGACTGTGCAACCATATAAAGAAATCAAGAATACTGATTTATTCAACTATAGTTTAAGTTGCTGTTATGAGGATTTTGATAACAAGAAAACTTAGAATAGCGCTCTTATATATTACACACGAGAATTTGAAATTGCGGTACAGATTTTTGCAAGCATCATAGAAGTCAGCATGTTTGATGTGGCCCGCCACATAAAATGATGTGGCAAGCCAGATCTGACCCCGGGCCTTGAGTTTGACACCTGTGGTCTCGGGACACATAAAGCCATCTCTGATTAAAATTAGCTGTTGACCAGTCATGAGTCAGCTTTCATCGAGAACTAAACACATTTGAGAATATTTCCTGTCGAGAGGCTGCAATTCTGAGGATTTAGATTTTTTTTTAGGTCTCTAAATGATTATTCAATTATCCAAGATATGAATTGAAAAGAAACTCAGGGAATAAACTCACAACATAAAGGAACATGACTTGGCTAGGGTTCAGAGACAGATGAGAGTGGCAAAAGCAGTGATCCAGCAAAGACTAAAAGGAACCCGGGAACTAAATACAAAAACAGACGGCACAACATCGAACACCCGGACGAGAAACAATTGGCTGAGGGAGCTGATTGAAAGACACAAGGGACCGAGTTGACGATCATAGATGGACGCAAAAACCTAATGAGTTAGACAGGGAAAAAGAGACGCAGAGAAAACATGACAACACAACCAAAACGTGGACCAAATGTGGCAGAGATTTTTCAAATCCATTTCCAAAGAGGAGCGTTGATCTATCGTCAACAAATGTCTCTTGCAACAGACTTCATGTCATACAAAGTCCATTTTTTTGGTGTGCTTTCATGTGCACGCATTTGGAACTGTGTACCTTTCGCATCCTTTGTTAGAAGAACATTGCTTTGCAGTATGAGCAGGTGATGGCCTGTGTTTGTGTAAAGGCCTTTGATGCAGAGCAGAATGGAGTCCAGGTACCCGGCCGGCTGCCTCCGAAAATGCCGGTAGTGGTCGCACCAGCCGACGTAAATGAGTAATGGCTCATTGCGATGTTTTGATCAAAGCTCTTGTTCCGCAGATTGCCAAAACAAGACAGCCAAGTGGATGCATTTCGTATTCCAAACGGTTTCAAGTACCACCGGCACGTTCCGCTATTAGCATCAAGCACATTCACGGATTGCATTTGCTTCTTTACTCAAGTGTCTGTGTGAGCCCGCATCAGGCGGGTCGTAATTACTGGCATAGGTGTTCCTTGGATGCACACTTAAACATCCTCATCTCACATTTCCATATCGCAAATTGAGCTTTAAAAGCTTTTTCCATAACAGTCAGGAAAACAAATATTCAGTTATCCATTTCAATATCTATATCTATAATATAGATATATTCTATATCTGTATGTATGTATGTATGTATGTATGTATGTATGTATGTATGTATTTTTTGGAAACAGTTTAAAGTAATTGATTCTTGAATTGGTATCCAAAGTGAGGCTCCATCACCGCTACAACATTTTCTACTGCTTGGATAAGATGACCAAATTGTCATTGATTTATGCGCCCAGTCTAGCCACTGTAAGCCAGTCATCTACACTTTTATATGGTTGCGGGGGATTTTACATGCAGCCCACAACATCATAAATAATAATAATAATAATAATAATACATTACATTTATAAGCGCCTTTCAAAACACTCAAGGACACTTTGCAATCAAAACAAGAACAATAAAACCACAGATAAAATTATAAATAATAAAAGGAGAGATGAATTTAAACTGAATTTAGCGACTCGAAATAGTA